ACGTGCAGGGTCCGTCCGCGCGCGTCCGTGTCCCACCGGCAGGCGCACGGCCGCTGCGCCTCTGCAGGCACGGGACCCACACGCGTAGGTGTGGAGGCGAATGCACGTATGCACCAGGGACTTGCTAATGTATGCTGTATCCATGTCTCTGTACGTCTGCTATACATACACACACACCCCCCCCAGGTAACTACATACGCATACTAGATATACAGGTATATTAGATGTATACTACATAGATATGTATGTATATGCACTATTTATGTGTTCTAGGTACACTAGTATACTCGTGCTAGATATACGCTGTATAAATACATACCTATATATGCACATATACAGATACGTATGTCGCACTTACATACGCACGCTCTCTCAGTATAGATACAGATATATATGGTATACCTTCATAAATATTTATACACTATTCATCTACTGGACGTATTAGGAATTATATGTTAGAATAGAATAGAACAGAGGTATTGTATATACATACTAGATACATAGTGCCTATAGGTATATGTCATTATATACAGCAAAATACCTCACTTCTGCACACACACAGTGTCTGGAAACGCCAAGCTGCCAGCCCAGACACACGGGCTGCCGGCCCACACATCGGAGGTGGCAGGGACGGGGTCCACGCTGCCGGGGGACGGCAGGTTGTGCCTCGATACAGGCACACTGGCATATAGGTTGGCACCGCCACCAGTTTCCCGGCTGGTGCCATATGGGAACCCCGGCACCGAACACAGGGCAGGAAAGTGCTGCTTGTGCCGCTGCTGCCTGTGCCACTGCTGCCTGTGCCGCTCCCATTTCCCCTTTACTAACGCTGCGGGCAGGCAGGGCGCAGGGACTGCCAGCGCCCAGGGCCACCTGGGCATCACCCGCCTTCCTCTGCTGGCAGGAAACACCGTGGGCAACTCCGCACGCTGCTGCTGCCAGGAAGTTCGGGAAGGGAAAATGCCAGATGCCATCCATGCAGTTGGCATGTCAGGATCTGCCTCTGAGATGCTGGCAGAGCTGCTTTTAAAAAAAAAAACAAAACCAAAAATAAAGAACAAAACCAGCCCAAACCTGCAGCAGCACATAAGTATTTTTTCTTAAAAAGGGAATATAAGCTTCTCCACCAGAAGCATTTTGGTAGTAAAGTGCTCCTGGAGCATCTAAGGTGCCCCTAGGGCTGCAGCAAACCTCGCAGAGCCAGCAGCCCCTCTGCCCTGGGAGTGCCAGCGGACAGCGCTCACCTCTGCAAGGCAGTAAAACGTCCCTGCGAGAGCCTGCCAAACCCAGGCAAGGGCTGACCATCCCACAAGATGCCAGGCCTCCAGGCAGGCTCTGAACAAGGAAACCCTTGCACACCTTTGCACACCCTCGCTTTCCCCCTCCCTGCCCCACTGCCTCCCAGCAGAGCACACCTGGCTGGAAACATCCAAAATCTTCTCGATTTGTGCCAGGACAAGCTAAGTCCTTTGGGAAGAGGATGTATCAGATGTTTGTTTTAAAGCTATTCCTCTTATGCCAAAAGCTCATCTGGCCCCAGCCCAGATCTCAGCATCGCCCTCCTCCCCTTGCGCCGACCCCAAAGCAGCTCCTGGGCGCAGGCGGGGTACAGAGTCACCCTTTGTGTGTCTGCCCAGGGCACACATGAGGAAAAAAGATAAGCTCTATAAACAAGTGTAAGTATATAAGTAAATATAGCCTCAAAATGCCATTCCAGGTGCCTTTGAAGTGTTCAGCTCCCACCTCCACCCGCGCTGAGTACGAATGAGCTGGATGTGGCATCAGGAGCCCCCCCGACGCTGCCCCTCTCCCCTGTGCATCCAGCCACAGCCCCCAGCTGCCGCCGCATCCTGCCAGCCCCATGCTGCCAAACAATTCTGGAAAATCCATATCCCCAGGAAAATATATGCGCAGAGATCATGGGAACAAGCTATAATGCTCGGGCTGCGAAGGGTGTTTGTAAAACTGTGATCGAAACCGACCAAATAAAAAACCATTTAATGTGAAACACTGGAAAAGCAGCAGATAAGGGTCAGTTTAGGCAGAGATGAAAATGCCAGCAAAGTCAATGAAGGAAATCCCCTTGCAAGCAACACCCTGCCCCAGGCCAGGCACCAGGAAGACCAGCCTGGAACAAACTAAAGGAGGCGTAAAAAGTTCATGGAACAACAACAAGAGTTTCAAAGTGAAAGTAAGTGCCCACAATAGGACACAATGCAGAGTAAATAAGGAAAAAAAGCAAGGCAGAAGAGAAATGAGAAACGGAAGATGGCTATGTGATGCAGAGGGTTTGGGCTGGTGGTTTTGTCTTTCCCGACCCCATCCCGTGACTGCCACTCAGAGCTTGCTAAGGGTGGCTGTCTTGAAGCATTATTTTCCTGACTGTTTCCAGACACCCTCACACTGAGGTGAGGAAATATATTCATGCAATAAATGTCCTGATAACTATGCCAACACAAAGTATTCATAAATTATCCCAAGGCAGGCCCAACCCAGCACACATTGTTTGTAGAGTTGCACAGCAGCTGTATCACTTGGTCCAAAATACTCAAATTAAGTCTTTTCCTTTGAGGGCCTGATTCACCACCAGCAAATCCTGCTCCAGTTTCGCATCAGCAACCCTTTACCAGTTTAAACTGGAGTCATGCAGTGGTGAAGCAAGGCTTGAATTCAGTTTCCCAAAGCATAAATCGTCTTTCTTTCAAGGACAGGGACAGAACTGATAGCGATTTATGGGTAGCTTTAACGGCACTTGATAAGCTAGTCCTTCCTGCAGAAAGAGAAAGTTGTACTCTTAATTGCACCCTGGGACGAGTTCTCACAGGCAGCACCACGGGGTTTCCCTGCCTCTCCTCTTCGAGAGGAGACACATGAGTTCCCCATCGCTGAGGTCTGCTGGGGGAAACCGCTGCGGGCAGCCATCCAAGCCTCCACGGAGGATTCAGGACACAGAGTCTGAGATGCCTTCAGATTTTTCTGAGGGTGCCAGGCACTTGTCACCTAAAAATCAGGCTCTGCTTGAGCCATTCAGGTGGGGCATTGTGAATGCAACCACCCAGAGCCATCCAGAGCATTTTCCCCTCCCACGACTCCTCCCTGATTGCAGATACATCCCCCAAACCCCGTGTCTGTCCCAGCTATCAGGCAGGGAATGAGAAATGCCACTTCCACAAGAGACTACCCAATTTTACAAATGGGGGCGAATCATATAAACACAGTACCTGTACCAAATATGTGGAGGATAGCAGTTTGTCTAAGGAGTGAGACGAGGAGAAGAGCCATCTCTTCTTTCTCTCTCAGTGGATTTGACCAGAGTTTTCAGAAGCGGGTTGTTCAGCACAGAAGTTGATAATGACACCTTTTATTATTATTATTACTACTACTACTACTACTACTATTATTTAGAACAGTCTACACATTTGCTTTTTGGGTACTATTTGAGCAACTAATGTATTTACCAGAATACTTACAGAAAACAAGAAAGAGACGTAAAGAAAACTGATGTAAATGCTCCTGAATAGTCCACTTTGTGGTCCCAGATATTTTTCTGCCCAAGCCAGCCATAAGAACACTAAGTCACAAGGCTGCAGGATTTTCAGTGCTCAAGTTGATTGTTTACCTCCTCAGTGGACTCATTTTTTAAGAAAAGCTCGATCAGCAACCAGTTGTACTTGCTGGTTTTGGTTGGCTGTGCACCATCCCAGTACAACAGTGCATGTGTTCCAGCCATGTATGGGATCATTAAAATGTATGCAAAGTGAGAGAATTTGTTTGAATGTATTCGAAGAATAGCTATTCACATATTCATACAGGAATTTGTGAGAGTACCCTGTGCCAGACTTAAAATGTGGGCTGTAATTGTTAGCTTAGGACAGTACGTTATACTGTACAGTTAAATCCCCTTTGTCAGGAAATTGAGATCTTTTCATTCCAATGACAAACGAGTCACATACTTTGCATGCAATCCCTTTGCAATTAGCTTAAGCGTGGAATTAGCCGTGTTCAAATTGCAGAGGCAGCATCTGGTCAGTCTTCCAAAGCCTGGCACTTTTCCTTATTCATATGTGTCCCTCATGCCCCTGCTAAACAGCTCACCTTGGAAGCCCATCGCCAGCTTCACCTGAGCACAGTCCAGGTCGTAATTCATTATTATGAAATTAGATTTTTCCTCTCCAGTTCTTGCTCCATCCTCAAGTTAAACAAGCTCTTCCTGCAGCTGCAGGACCATTACTTATTGATAGCAGCAGAGTTAAGTCCTCCCCCTGAAAGGAAGAGATCAATTTTAATACTGTAAGTTTCCAATTGCTACGGCTTCCTCCTCGGTACCGTTATATATCACAGCAACATATCTTGATTCAAGGTGAAACCATCCCCTAAATATTTTCCTATAGCTTGCTGCTATTACATTTACCTATCTGACACCTATAGTTGCCTTTCCAGAGACGATACGGTCACGGGTTATCGTACGGCTCCACAGTTAGCAGCTGGCAGGGGGTGAGGAGGGGGAACGGAGCCCACCAGTGCCAGGATCAGGCCCAGTGGTCCCAGGTGGTGCGCAGGAGGCCTTGGACCTGCCTTTGAAGAAATGCCGTGGTGTTGCCATTCCCTGCGGCAGCTCTGCCAGCCCAGCGTGGCCGGAGTCAGGCACGCAGCCAGCCCGTGCCCCAAACAGGGCGCTGCACCCGCACACCCTGCGCCCCCCGTCCCAGGCCTCTGATAGAGAGTAAACAAAATTAATTGTGCTCACAGGATCCCCAGACTGTCATACCCCAGACTCTTATACCAACTTCTTCCCACCTCAGAGGTGGCTGGCCAGCCCCCAATGTCTGCTACAGAGGGACAGAGATGCGAAAAGCAGCGCTGGGAAAGGGGGAGCTGATGAAGGGGAGGAAGAGGAGCGAGCTCCCGCCTCACCTGGTCATTAGGGTAACAGGATTGATTAGCGGAGGTGCTTTGGTTGGCGGGCAGCTGGTTTGAGATGGCTGCTCCCAGGGCTGGGTGCCCCCAGGCCATCAAACCCCTTTATACCGGGGACTTTCCCCCAAGCCACACCAGCAT